TATGTTAGACAATTTGCCTGCAAAAGAAAGGTTTTATGTATTTAATTCCACCACTGAAGGGTGGAACATACATCATTTTCTCCCCCCCACCTTGGTCCCTCTACAATCTGTGGCTCACACAGTGAAGTGTTTTGAATTAATTATGCTAAAGTATTAATAACTCATTTTGTGAAAACTTTACAGGATTTGAATAATGTTTTATAAAGCAGCAGCATATGATAATTTTGTGGTTCTGATCCTCTGGAATACTCAGCCACTTGAAAGGAAAAACAGATGAGTACACTCTACAGGCATGTAATTGAGTTCATGCTGTGATCTGTGTAAAGTAAGTTATTATTTGATTGACTGAAAAAATTTTGAGTCCAGTGGCAGCTTTAAGACCAACAAAGTTTTATTCCAGGTATGAGTTTATTTGGCATTTATAGCCCATTTGTCCCACTGAAGTATGTAGAGGTAGTATTGTACAGAAGCCCTGAATATAACTTGGCAGTTTACCATGTGCTTTATTGGGGTGGGAGAGGGAGGCTGTAAAAGAACTTGCTGTTCAGAGATTAAAGCTGTTGGGGAGTGTGCCACCTCACCCCCCCCCCCAGATGTTACTGGCTGTTATTTTGGGGGGTACTTTTTACAATATCCAAAGATTCTTCAGGGCTCTGTATTTTGCTGTCCAAATTTCTATCCTAATAGTTAAGTTACCATAATTAAAACTCAAACACAACATTGGGACTACGGAGGAAAAGCTGACCAACTGAGACTAACTGGTGTGAATACTTCAGTTGGTACAAAAAACTGCAGCCAGACCCATAGCCAGGATTTTGTGGCTTGTGGGGCAAATTTTTTTTCTGGTGGGGCTGCCATTATTTCTTCTGTCTGTCTCTAAAACAACTGTAATGTAATAATAAAAACAATAACAAGTATGGACTGCAAGGAGATCGAATCAGTCAATCCTAAAAGAAATCAACCCTGACTGTTCCCTGGAAGGCCAGATACTGAAGCAGAAGCTCAAATACTTTGCCCACCAAATGAGAAGGGAGCACTCACTGGAGAAGACCCTGATGCTGGGAAAGATTGAAGGTCAAAGAAGACGGGGACAGCAAAGGATGAGATGGTTAGACAGTGTTATTGATGCAATGAGCATGAAATTAATTTAGGCAGATCATGAGAGGGAGGGCAGGAAGGGTTGTATCAGTGCTTAGTTCTCGTGTGGGAGGTAGTTGTGAATGTCCCGCCTTGTGCAGGGGGTTGGACTAGATGACCCTGGAGGTCCCTTCGAACTCTATGATTCTAAGGCTTGAGGGGCAAAAAGCAATGTAAGGTGAGAAACTTATATTTGGAAGGAGGAAGTGACCTCACAGGGAGGGTCAGGGAAGACAGCATGGATTTCTAGGGCAAAACTAAAATACTAACTTTGATCCAAACATTATTCTCCCTGCTGAAGATTGCTTGAAATTGTGTTGATAGAACTGTTCTGTACAACATCTGTCTTCTTTTTTTTTAAGTTAGGAATCTAACAGGAAGCCCGTTTGAAACACACACCACTGACATACACAAACACAACAGGCAGAAATGATGAGAAGCTAATGGGACAGCAAATATTGAACAGCTTTTTATTTATTTTGACAGCTTTGACATCAGTGACATTATTAAATATTTATAAAACCTACATAGAAGGGAGCTGAATCTGGAAGTCCCACTGAGGTCCCTGTCCTCCCCAGGCTCCACCCCCAAGTTTCCAGGAATTTCCCAACCTGGAGCTGGCAACCTGAGTGGGAACAGATATATGACAGTGTATTTAAATTTGAATTCTGAAAGACGGAAGTGACTTCAGAGGAAGAGGTGGGTTTGGGAGTGCCCTGAAAGTGATGTCATCAGAAGGGGTGGAGCTTTGGTAGTGACATCACTTGACCTTTGACCTGGAAGTTACATCACAGGATGTGCCATAACAAAGTCATGTCACACCCTTGCCAGTGTCTCCTGGCTCCACCCCCAAAGTACCCAGATATTTTTCAAGTCAGACCTGGCAACCCTAGCTCTAAGGCCTCTTACTTGTTAATTTAGGGGTGGTGGAATGACTGAGTAGGCCTCCTGCCTGAGGCCTGGACTCTCAGGTCTCCTCCTGGTTCAGTTAGGTTCTGGTTTGTGTGGCACTCTGCAGTTAAAACTATGTTTTAAAAAGTTTTCTAACTTTAGTGTGTGATATTTCTGGACTTGCTGGGGTTTTTTGGGGGTGGGTGGGTGGAGTGACTGAGTAGGCCTCCTGCCTGAGGCCTGGACTCTCAGGTCTCCTCCTGGTTCAGTTAGGTTCTGGTTTGTGGTTTGTGTTGCACTCTGCAAGGTAAAGCCAGGTTCTAAAAAGTTTTATCATTTTACTGTGTGTGAGATCATCTTTGGGCTTGTGGGTTTGGGGTGGTGGTGGTGGTTGACTAGGTTCTCAGGCCTCTTCCTGGTTCAGTTAGGTTAGGTAGTTGGAGAGACTCTGGTTTGTGGTTTGTTTTATTTCTAAGTGGGTTTCTGATTTGTTGTTCGGGAGGGTGGTGGTGGTTCATGTGTGGGGGGGGTGTTTGGCTAGGAGGGCCTCAGGGTCCATTTTGGTTTTTTGGGGGGAGTGAGCCATCTCACTGTTCTGTGTGTGTGCTTAAGAACATAAGAGAAGCCAATGCTGGATCAGGCCAATGGCCCATCTAGTCCAACACTCTGTCACACAGTGGCCAAAAATACCAGGTGCCATCAGGAGGTCCACCAGTGGGGCCAGGACACTAGAAGCCCTCCCACTGTTGCCCCCCCCCCAGCACCAAGAAGACAGAGCATCACTTGCCCCAGAGCCCCTATCTATACCTTGTGGCTAATAGCCACCGATGGACCTCTGCTCCATATGTTTATCTAATTCCCTCTTGAAGCTGTCTATGCTTCTGGTTTTAGGTGCTGCAGTGCTAAATAGGCTTTTAAAAAGTGTTTCAGGAATTTTAAAGCTAATTTCAACACCCTTAAATAAATCTCAGCATAGGGCTTTAGCTGTTCCTTCCTACCTTTAATTAGACCAGTGCTAGGAGGATTAAAAGAGGCCAGGCTTTGTCTTCGTAACAGTGATAGAAGTGGCATAGGTTTATTTTTTAAAAGCAGTGTGCGATTTGGCACTCTGAGCTTCGGTGAAGGCAGGTGCTTTTTTTAGGCAACTTATTCCCCTTTAGCTTGTCTTGTTCTTCAAGTAGGGAGCACCTGTCTTTCCATACAGGAAACTGGGCTGGTTCCAGTAGAATCTAGTCAGGAGTAGTTTAATCAAAGACCCATCAACTTTTTAAAAGGTTTCCTGCAAGGGATTTACCATGAGGTGAGATGCTGTTTTCCCGAGAAACCCATTGTTGTAAGTAGGGTTGCCAAATGGCACTTACCCTTCCGGCGGGGGACTCCAGTTCGGCTCCCGGCGCGTGCGCCGCATGCACGTCACAGGGAAGTGACGTCATGACGCCAGGCATGCTGGGGGGGGGGGCCCCCCCGGGGTCCGGTCGCC